TTCCCATCCACCAAATTGGATTTCGTAAATATCTGTGGTCATCTCCTGCAAACCCTGCAAACAGGAGGAAAAAACAAACATGTTTATTAAAAAAGATTGTTCATTTGGGAACAGAAAGTCGCAAGCGATAAGCTTTTCTTATAATATAGTATCTATAATCAATCACTACATTCACGTTCCGAGACCCAAGTAAAACCGAGCCAAGACCATACAATGAGCACAGTGATGGACAACTATAACTATGCGCTCTTGCCGTAATCTATTTTATACACCATAACATACCGTGTTTGCTAGTGGCATCAATTAAACCTTTCTTTGTGATTATAAAGGAGGTGCCGATTGCCAAACTAGAGAAGACGGCTAATGCCAGTCCAATATACCTGTCCTCTACCATGTGGTCTATATATATAAGGATCGTATACGCTAGAACTCTCGAGTGAGTTTAATTCCTTGTAACACCCTCAGCGTCGCCAGGAAATAGAAGAAAGAAGTAAAAAAAAAAAAAAAAGGAACGAAAGGGAAAAAACCCCAGATATATATAATATATTTATATTTATATAAAAAGAGTGGTATGGGTTCCTTGGGCTATTTCAAGGAAGTTTCTGTATTTCTGTTTACAATCGGGAGATAAAAATAAACCGGTTGCACACAGTGAGTGAAAACTGGGCAGGTGAGGGGTGGGGTGAGGTATAGATAGAAAGGATATAATGAAGAAAGTTTTGAGCTGCCTGCATGTAAAATTATAAACGAACCCTTCAATTTGTTCGTGTTACCGTGTAAAATGGGTACATATTTGATATTAATTTAGATATTGATGGACGAAAAGCCTCTTTTTCCGTAAAAACGATATATATAAATAAATGGACAAACTCTTGGCAATAAAAATGTGCGTATTTTTTTACTCCGAATTAAAAATATACATTTTTCAACTAAGTCTGGAATGTTGCAAGCGTGCAACTGTTCCCTATTGAATCCAACACTTTTGAAGTCTTTTGACTTCCATTGCCGCAAATACACCCTACTCTAAAATTGGTGATTATGTACGGCACGTAACAAACATTCATTAATGGATTAACGTCACACTCTTTAGAACAACCTGATTTAAATAGTCCACATATATCTTTTGTGATGCACGTAGAATTGACTGAGAAAAGAATCGGGTTCATGGTTTTGACAAGTTCGCTCGTAAAATCTATATTGCCGCACGAACACTGCACCTCCAATTGATTATGTCCAAGGCTATTACTGCAAGAATTAATTTTGTCATCGGATAAACACTCTGGTTCTCGTTTTAGAGCGCAAAGAGAAGAAAAGACGCCGCACGCTTCATCGGCATATTTACTCTCCACTGTCGTGAATTGAGGTTGGGGTGGGGTGCTTTTTGTTTGAGTTGGTTTAGGGTCAGGGTTTAGCCTGTCATTTATCTCGTCTTCATGGCGATCGAATTCTGCAATGAAAAGACGATTGATCGGTTAGTTTGGTTTCTTTTTACAGAGGCGAAAGAGGGAGCGAAAGGTGACGTTGCGTTGGGAG